TGATGTTCATTAATTGAAATGTAGTTTTCGTTGTATTCTTACTCTGTTTACTGAATATATACCTTTTTCCATAAATAAGAATATCTATTAAGGTTAAATGTAAACATAATTTGTAAAGTTTAACAAACTGACATATGACTTGTAGCATTCAAAAGTACGCACCTGATAGTCACGCATAGTGCTGTAAATCAATTAAGACTGATTATTCTGTTTACTTTCATCGTTTGGTAAACGTAAGTAAGAGAAGATTAATGACATTTTCTTGATAAATTATTTGATTTGAAAATAAATGCATAGATTAGATCTTATGTAGTGTGATATGTTTTATGTATTTCTATTTCATTTTATAGGAATTTACATTTTTGTTCTCGTAAATGTGTAAGGGAAGTGTGATTTTATTTAAATTAACAATTTCTTGATGATTTGTTCATTTAATGAAGCAGGATGATGATGACAGTTGAATGATCGTTCCAGTTTTCACTGTTTAACTGTTCATTACTCTTTTTCTTGTTATACTGTCATTATTCCTTTCTTAATATCAACTTGAGGAAAATCTCTTTTAATAGTATATATTAGTTACTTGAAAATACTGATCTTGTGGACTAAATATAATAATAACTTTAATGTAAAGAAGTTATTGGGATATTTTGAGCATTATTAAAATTTTGTCATGAGTTCCGAAGTTTTCTTAAACTTTTCTTTTTTCTTTCTAAACCTAAACTTCTCTTCTACCAGTAATTCGGTTACTACTTTTATTGCTGTCAAATTTAATATGATAATTTCACCTCATCACTGTACCGATTCCGTGTGACAACTTGAACCGACGTGCATTTGTCCCAAGTTCGACGTCACATATTACTGACTAACTGATTGACTGACTATAAAATTCCGTATTCTTTATGTTCTGTACAGTAGTTCCTCATAATTATCGCCAATATTTATTTTAAAGTGTGAAAATAATAATAAATTTATTAAAAGGAGACATCAATATAATATTATGATTAGATACTGTGTGTTTTTGAAATAATATTTGCATTCAACTGAATCATTAAATAGGTGTGATGTTCCATACTGGCAGAGATAGCATAAAATGAATTCATTGATCCGTATGTTAATTGTAGTGAATAAAATAGTTAATTACATAGATCAATATACTTGTTTTTAGAGTTTGATCTATTTCGGTTTGTTGGTGATACTACGATCTAGCAGAATAACTTAAAACAACAGGGAGCTTTAAAATCTGACAGGTCTGTTTCAGAGGTCTTTGTTGGTCTATAAATACCATTAAAGGTAGCTAAAATATCTAGTGCCCCCAAATGCCCTGGCACGGCCGAGAGTGGGGAGAATTCGCTCTTCCTCTCAAAATGCTCTCACATGGCCACGCGTATATAGCCTCTTCCAGGGAAGTCCTACTCACTGCCTTCTCGTAGCGAGAGTGTTGTTTACGAAATTGACAGGACGAAAAGCGAAAATCCGGCGCTTTAACCGGGTTGGGGGACACGGGGAGTTCATTGAGGGGAGTTGGAAAACCCTGATTCCAAACCTATGATGCACATGGGCTCCAGTACCCTGAGGAAACAAATGGAGTATGAACCAATTGTTGGTCACTGGCTACCATGGAACTGCATCTCCTTACGATGTTTCACTGCCTTGTGGATTAGACCTTTAGGTCGGAGGCTCCGGGTGTGGCCCCCTAAGAAAACCACCTGCTTCGGTTTGGGCACCCAGGCAATATTACAGCCCACACAAAAACCAAATGAGATTTGTGTGGCGCATATATATCTGGTGCCCCCTTGTACCAGTATTTATGTGTTCAAATAAATAGTAAATAAAAAATATCTAGTAAAGCCTCAGAGGTGAAGGTACTCTAATCTAACGGTCATCGATCGCTAATTATATCAGTTTATGAGGAAGAACATAAATCCTATGATAATAAGTACTGTGCAATCATATTAAACGGTGCAGTGTCCAAAACTTCAGTTTCCACAATCATCCAACTTCTGTGGAGAGCTTGTGAATAAAATCTCGAGGAAATCAAGTTTCATTCAGACATGGGTGTTTATAGATTGGAGAAGTTTGTATTCTTTCTCTTGATAAGATTTAGGACACATTTATCCAAGCCGACCCCTGGCTGTTGTTATATTCTTTGTATTTGGAACATTATTTCCTGATCTTATTTTAAACTTTGGGTTGTAACAATATTTATATCCTGTCAGTATTATCCATTTTATTTGGTTTAGTACCATTATATAAACTATAGTCAACTATGCTTTTTTACGGTGCGTGCTGTTGATGATGTTATAAAACATCTTGGGTTGATTTATATTTCCACTGTTGGACTGACACAGAAAATGGAAACGTCGTGATATGAAAAACTTGGTTGTTTTCATAACCTTTAGTTTTGTTATTTTAGCATCGATGTTATTTAATGGACAGAAACTCATATATTTCAGCTTTTGTTTTAAATAGTATTCAAACCTAAGGATTAGGGAGAGATTCGGTTGTAAAATATCTCTTACCTATCTTGGTATTCAAAAATATTTAAAGAGTAACTGTACTTTATAAACCGGACTAATTAAGTCCCATTTCCCTCACCCGATTACCCACACGTCTCGTCTCTAATTCAGACACAATCATCTTATGTTATCAACTAGTGTAAAATGTTTCACAATACACTGAATCCTCTGTATACTATGAAGCCTTAAAATAAATACCGGATTTTTCTTACGGATCATTCAATAACATATTTACATAATTGCATTACTTGTACCCTCTAGTTTTAACTTTTCACATTTTATGGTTTAGAAGTATGTTAATGAATTGTTTCGTTGTTATGAGTAAAAGAACTATATTTTAGTTCGTAACTCTACCATCGAAACAAGTATAAAACGTTTCAGTAGATAAACTTATCAGTTCTTGACAAAAAGAAAGAATTCCAATAACTTACTTCAAATGAAAATGAATCAATTGCTTTCAGAGGGGCTACTGATTGTTTTTATAAATACCGACTATGCGTAAAGTGCTGTGCGGTTTGTAGTAATTGTTATTACATGTATCTATGTATTTGATATAGGTTGATGTTTAGTCTCTTGATGTTGTTAATTTCTGTAATTGGACTAATCGTCGTTATTTATTTTTACATCTAATATTAATTTCTATATAAATACTACTTAGTAAGAAGTTAATAAAATATTACTGAACAGAGTGTTTAGTTACATAGGTTTGTAAGATTAGACTTTTAAGAAATCTTGATAGATTTGGAGGAATTGTATAAATAATCTTGCAATCAGTATGTGCATCTGTAAAGTGATTATAATGGATTGAATGTTCAAGTATAAAACTCCTAACCAATTTCCTCTGTTTTTTGTAGAATCAAAATGGAGTATGATCTCGTAACCGAGTTGTAAACAACCTCTGCTCTTGTGGAGCAAGACACGTAGGCTGTAGTCGGCGTTTGTTTTCAATTCCGATACGAGAAAATATTCCATTTCGATTCTACAAAAGTAAGAAAAAACAGGTTTGGAGTTCTGTACTTGAACATTCAATCCATTATAATCACTCCATTAATCCACATATTGATTTCTAGATTATCTATACGATTCATCCAAATCTATCAAAATTTCCTCAAATTCAACTTATTCAAATAAAAGAAACTCTTGTCATTCATGAAACGAAGCCTGGACTGTGTATAAGTATTTTTTGCTGCCTTTACCGTGATGAACCATTATTATAAGTACATTGATTGTTTAATTCGGGTTGGTTGCATTAAAACCGTCTGTATGAAAAATGAGAACTAGGCAGCACATGAAAAAATAATTCACTTCAATTCAAAGATTCTTAGCGGTATATTCTTTTTTTGTACATTCAACGTAAACATTTCACTGACTCACAAGTACCTTACAACTAACAAACAGTTTGAAGTTCGGTGTGCGTTATTTTCTTAATTCATGTACTTTTTAAAACTAATGCGAGATAATGAGTTGCTGATTCTTCGAGTGAGTCCGGCTTTCGATAACATCTATTTCAAAATCTTTTAGTTATAGACCAACAAATACAGTCAGTCTGTAGCATATTTAGATCGTTGCTGGCAGTTAAATCCAAGTATTCTAGACTTGTTATTTGATGGTAATATCGTATCATACGCTCAGAGTGTCAACAGAGATTGATCAATTATAGTCCTGAATGTCAACAAGTGGATAGTACATATCCTTACAAGTAAATACAATGTTATCAGAAATAATATATAAGTGAAGTCATTATTTATTGTTCGATTTCATTTTCGTTGATTCCTTAAAGTTTGTTTTTCTAATCAAATGTTTATAGTGTTGATCAGTTGGTTGTTTGAATGGATTAAAATTTCACTCCATTACACAAGCTAGTAGCTATTAGGACTCAGTAGTGAAGTCGATAACGTGATGGCGTTTGGAGCGAACGGTATTGAGTTTGAGTCTCGGAGTGGGCATGAAGTCTGGTATGCGGGCACATCCGGCTGATGATTCCCGAATAGGACGAAACGCGCTTACTGGATTCCACTGCTAGCCACCATCCATCCTTGCTTATAAAGTTTGTAGATTGTTTTTTTATTTGATTCTGGTTGGTTGACTACTGAAAATAAACAAGCAGTTGAATACGTTTTAGTCCTAGCTTGAAATTCATTATTATTAAATCTTATATTAGGTCACTTTGTCTAGCTACTACAACACCAAACTAACTGTATATGAACAACTTGACTGATGTAATAAATGATGACAGTTCTGAGGTGTAAATAGTTATTTACATTTCTTGGTTATTTGACTAGTTCTTTTGCAACATTTTCCAGTAAGTAAACGGTTTACTAAGACTGACTTATTATGTTAAGACTATGGACAATAAAATAGATAATGTATTTTTACAGTTAATCATCTTTTCAACTACTTAAATACATTATCTTTATGTTTAATGATTGTTAGCTGAGACTAATTAGATTGTTAATTTTCTTTTATCTTTTTTCCTAATTACAGGGAGTTAAAAACTGAACAACCAGTTCCCGATCTGTTAATAATATCCATTATTTCCGTTGTACTTACAATATTAGCAGCTGTCATTTTACTTGCTGGTTTGCGTTTCCTGTGTCGTCGTCGTAGATTGTTCCGTCGAAGACGAGGACAGTATACAAGTGGACAGTCAGTCTAAATATAATTTATGTTACCAAACGAAAAAATTAACGATGGTAATTCTCGAAGATTTATTTCTTGTGAATAATTAATGAATAAAAACTTTGATCCAACTGTTTTTCAAAGTAACTTTTGCGACTTTCTCCTTTCAAATAATTTGGTCTTTTATAGACATCAAACTGACTTTGATGAACTACTATTTTCTCCTATTGCTTATTAATCATTTTTATTATTCTATTCTTATTTCTTACAGCTTTTTTGTCTATTCTGATTTGCTTTTAAATATTATGACACTATTTTGGTAGTTTGGTATTCTCCACCTCTTTCTCCTATATATGGAATAAACTGAGTATCAATAAGTAAACATTAGAGACCATTAGTTTGTATCACTACTACTGTTGTTGTTTTCGGTGATCGCATTCTCGTAAATACCTTCAAAGGGTTATATTTGAACGCTGTTTTCTTTAGATATATTCATGTATTCCTTTATTTTTAAGGTTTTGCTTGGTGTATCTTTTTTTTGAAAGTTTATCAGCCTGTTGCATTTTGTTTTAATGTACTATATTTTTTACATGGTATTTTTGTTTTTTTTAAATATTACATTAACGTCTTCCATAATGTACTTGTTTTGTGTGTATGTAGTGGTGGATTTTTCTACAACTTCAGTTCATCAATCATTTGTTCTATCTTGATAATTTATCCAGTTTAATTTAATCAATAAAACAATGTTTTATGAGTTAACATAGTTGAAATTTATAGTCCTGATAAATAATAATTCCTTATGGATGCAAATAAATAAATAACAATTATTAAAAATGACGACGAATTAAGTTATATTATGTAGTTAAAGTGAGATTATTGAGGTAGCTTTGTGGTGTATGCTACTTATATATATTGACATAAGTAGTATGTGACACCAATTGCACGTGAAAAACCTGGTAGCAGAAGTTTATGAGGGTCGACTTGAAGAAAAAAGAAACGTGATTAGAAAGTAATTGTGAATCGAAAAAATCTTATACAATGTGAGAGACATGATGGAAATTTGCAAATTAAGTATTCAATGTACGGTTCTCATATTTCGCCAAGAGATTCTGTAATTTTGGTAATGAGACATTATTGGTTGTCTACACTTGTGTTCTAGTTCACCACAGCTCATTCCCTTTATTGAAAATAATCAAACTAGACCGATAGTATTTGATTTGAACTAAAGTAACTAAACGAACATATCAATGTTGATTAATTATTGATCGATTAATCCTGAAGGATGCTATTCACAACGTGAATTGCTCAGTGGTAACTTCCTAGTCTGTAACATTAATTAATTTGGGTTTGAATTCCGTAGGAAGAATCGGCTCTTCAAAAATTGTAGTTTTGCTTTCAATGACAAGTGATAAGAAACATAGATCCAATGTTTCCTGCTTGTTACTTTCAATCAATTAACATCAAAACTTAAGGGCTTGTTCTATAGGTCGGTTAATCGGCTAATGTTATACCCCAGTGAAGATTAAATAATGGGTAACTTTTAAGAATTATCGATGGACTAGTACTATATATATATATTATTCCATAACTTTTCAGTAACTAGATTACATACATCTACACCTTTTATTATAAGCTTTATTTTGACTCATAGACTATTATGTTACGGTTTACTACTTTTAAATTATACTCAGTTTATTATTTACAGTCTCCCACGTTCATGGCCACCTTTTGGTTTGATCCTGTATAAGTGTTATTTTATGGTGTGATGTGGTCTGTTAGGCTATTATATAAACCAAGTATGTTTTAAATAAATAACTCCCATAGTGTACGCTGGTGTTAGTGTTCTGGACTCAACTGAAAGGGCTAGAAAAACAAAGGATTAATAAGGACGCTAGGCCGCTCATACCGGTCTAACGTCATTAGTTGGTACAGTGGTAAGATAGTATAAGTCGTATCCCGAGTGGTGGATAAGCCACGTGATAATTAGCCGGACTTAAAGACACAACAGCTAATTATTATTAATCTCTCTCAGTGGATAACATCGATTTTTCTAGATTTTACTAGTAAAAATAACTGTACCCAATTCTGTCACATTCTATTTTTCCAATCACTCAGTCAATTTATGATTACTAATAACCGGTCACCTTCACTTCGACACATTCCTATTTCAGTAGTTGAGATCATGAGTAAATTGAAGCTAGACCATCATGGAAAACCTGGAAGCTTCAATTAAATCATGATCTCAACTATTGAAATTACTACATCCTCCACAAAACCCCTTCTGTTACATTCCTGTTTGTTTATTTACTTCATATTTGTGATCATGTTAAGTGTTAAAATATTTACTTAACTAGAGCACAAATTTACTAGGTATCATGGTCCTTTATTCTTTCCATATTTACTTAAACCAACCCATGTAAATTGATCATTTAGTTATGAGTCAGTACACTTCCCATAAATAGCACACGTATGATAATGTGATAACAAAGTACATTTTGTAAAGTTTCTGTTTTATCTAATAGTGGTATAAACAACTTGGAATATTTTTCGGTAATTGATACGGTTTTTTTTGAGCTTTTTCATAGGTTTTTGATTGAATTTGTTAATGGTTTGTGGTTTTGTGTCCCATTAATATATAACGTAATGATACCGCTGTTAACGTGGGAGGCAGTAGTCAATAAACTGAACATAACTTAAGAACCGTAAATCGTACAATAATAATATATAGGTCAAAATAAAGCTTATAACAGGGGGAATATAGATAATATAACAGATTTACATAAAATTACTGATTTAATAAACTTTATGAATATATAAACACTTCAATATAGACTGCAACTATTTGTTTATAGAAATCTATTGGCTTTTATTTCGACAATATTAAGCTTGTATGAGTAATTATTGTCCAGAAATAAACTTCACAATGTATTCCATATCTCATGCTGATCTCGTTAGCTTGATCTAAACTGGCCGAAGGCAAGCTGCCAACTATTAACGTCGTTTCAATAGCCCATCATGTATACTTACTACTCATCACGTTTGGCTCAGACCAACTCATCTGTCTCGCTCTTACCAACTTCTTTGCTTTAATAAGTATATTATATCCACCAAAATAGTGTTGTCTTTAATAGCGATTCATTTAGTGTACATAACATATCAAAGAACCCGGTATTGGAAGCTTGATATCATTGTTGCATAATTCAGTTATATAGAACACAGCCAGACTAATCAAATGTCATAGCCGACATATCATTGTCACTCAGATGAAGCATTTGATCTATTATAAAAGACTTTGATTTTTCATTACAGTAACATCTTGACTGATATGTATTCAACTATAAATAAAGTGTGATTAAGTAACTTGAATGTTAGTTTTTCATGAGGGAATCACTCTTCGGTGCTTGTGTCTCATGGTTAAATATAACGAAATAATGTTAATTTTTCAGTATCCATTATTCTACTTCGCAACCTAAATGATTCGCAAATAAAATAAGAGATTTCCTCGGGTTCATATCAAAATCTCACTTTTTCACAAAACATGTTGAATCGTTTTCTAGTTTGTTTCAAGCTGAAGAAAGAATTCAACAACTGTTTTGTACTAGAACGATATTTTTCACTATTATATGTCTGTGACTGTATATACGTGAACGAAACGTGTTATATTTTTATCTTGCGATTAGTCAGTACGATTATAAGGCAGTTACTGAGTCAGAATACAATAGTCTTTATTTTATAAATCTATTTAGTAGTAAAAAAGTAGTATTAACTTTTATTACTGATTATTACTAATAGAAATCAGTTATTCAACACATAAATCACTGAAAAGTCAGTATTATATATATATATATATATATATATATATATATATATATATAAAGAAATTCTCTCTGTTAAAATTTGTCTTACCTTTTGTTCAAAAGTCTCTTCTATTCAGGTGAAAACAATTGAAGGTATTTTTTATTTCTAAACGAATAAACAACTACAAGTTTTGGTAATTGTCGACAAAATATTTGATCGTTAATGATTTAGTGAGAAATTTAGCTAATCAGTCAATTCATATATTGTTGGAATGATGGCTAAAGGATGACTGCTTACGAAAAATTTAGCTACAACTGTGATTATCAGAAAACCAAACAATCAATGAGTAGAATTAAATTTAATTAATGTGACTATAGTGTAAGTGAAATTCTACATTATTAGAAATCACCATGAGTATAATGAGTGTTAAAATAAACCAGCTGGTAATCGATTGATTTATCCTGTGAATAGCATCCATAGTTCTTGATCATCACATCATTTTAGTATGATTAGCTCGTCTAATTTGAATGGACCATAAAGCAAACATATACCAGCTATTTTCAACATTTTTCTGTTGGAATAATCCGCCGAAATCAGTCCATATCTGAGAATTTTAAATGGATAGAGCAATAGAACGGATGTACTGTGACTAACAGTAGAATTCAGAACTCGTGTTTCGTCTTATCTGTGATTCGTTAGTTGCATGTCCCACCATCACAGTGTTGATGCTCACATTTAGATTTAAACTCAACACTTATTGTTTCAAAGTCACTAACTAATTCAGCCGTATGACGTTTGTATTATAATTGGTGGTTTGTAGTATACTGTTGTTGAAACAGTAGTTCATCTAACTAAAAAAACTATCAAGCATCTATATCCAGAAGATGGAGATTCCAATTCTTTTCATACTTCGTTTTAACTTGGGTTCAATAAGTCAACGACCATCCTAATTATATGATCCAATACACTTTCTTATTTACATTTTATTTATTTTATTTTACTGAATAATTACTACCACTATCACCTCTTGGTCAAATCATTTGATGCATTACACAATCGCTAGTTAAATATTTGATATGATCATTGTATTTCTCAAACTACAATGCTTATACTTATTATTAATTGACCTGGAACCTGACTCGGGTGAATGAGTTACACGTTAGTCATTTGACACTTACAAACCACCGACTGCCCCGAAGTGTAATGTTTTAGAGTGTAGGTTGGAAGAAAGCCAGGGGCGCCCAGACCAAAACATGGCACAATTCCATGAAGTCACTGACAAGTGGACTGAGCCATGTTGGTAGGTGTAGACTATCTGGTCGGGGTCCGCGAGATGATAACAACTGATGGTTAGAGATACTGAATGTCATGGCTTAAAATCGATTGCAATGGCGCAGGTGCACCCACTCTTTGTCTTCTCCAAAACTCTAATCTTCTGAATTCTTCACGTCCCTTTTTTTCTCTTTACAAATTTATTTCGTTGGATTATACTCCTTGAATAATGTCTTCAAATCCTAATCTTTCGGATTACTGCTTATACTCTTACTACCTCTATCACTGCGAGATTTGAATCGACAACTGCATCTCAGTGCTTATGTGGTATGGCAATTCGAATTGATGTACGTACGTACGACTGACTGACTGACTAACAAACTGATTTAGTTTGTTATCCTTGATTTACATATTGCTATTTTTTACTTAATAATACCTTTGTCATTAACCTTGTTATTCTTTCACATCAATCATTTGAAATTCAACCTGTATAACTTGGTAAGCATTTACTAGAAAAGAACATTCTTTGTCCATGTTTCTGTATCTTTTAAAATAAGCAGAAATTAAAAAAGTTAATTATTTCATATAATCAGTCTGATTACACTTAATGTACCATACATTTTTGTAATAATCTATTTAACTAGTTGCTCAATTATTTATAGATTCAGTCCTTGAAAAACAGATGAATTATCGCTTATTATTGTCCTTGAAAAATAGTGAACAGCTTTTTTTAGCAATATAACTTATCGCGTTTGTTAC